GAGAGAGAGAGAGAGAGAGAGAGAGAGAGAGAGAGAGAGAGAGAGAGAGAGAGAGAGAGAGAGAGAGAGAGAGAGAAAACATCTGGGGAAAGGACGGAGGACCCAAATATATGAAAGGGATGCTGTATTTCAGGCTCACTCTTGATCACATCGCAACAAGGAGCACGTATCAAAATGCAGGTACCACCGTACCAGGACTGGCAGAGTGTCACACTGTCACGTCTTCTCGGTCGCCTGTTGTGATCAGATTCAGGTTCACAGTTCTTTCTATCTGATAAACCCTGTTATCTCTTGCCAGTAATGCACTAATATTTTAACCCGAGAATCACTTTCGGTCTTCACTAATAATTGGCGAACTGAAAAACGATCTCCCTTCAAAAAACAAAAGCCGTCCCGGACCTTGCATCGCTTGCCCGCACATTGGCGCGCGCGCAGTGTGCATAGAAAAGAAAGGGAAGTGACACTCAAGCCACAGCATGCTCAGCAAAATACTTCCCTGTGTTCGCGCGCGGGACTGCCCAAGTGGGGAGACAGAGGGCTGAGAGGGGGAGTATGTGAGTGTTTGCCGTTTCAGAGACTCCGAACTTCGGAAGCAAGCGGGACGGAAGAGATTAGTGCACTCTATTAATCTCTCGATGATGACACATGTCATAACTCTCTCTCTCTCTCTCTCTCTCTCTCTCTCTCTCTCTCTCTCTCTCTCTCTCTCTCTTTGTGTGCGTGTGTGTGTGTGTGTGTGTGTGTGTGTGTGTGTGTGTTGTCATATTCGCTACACAATAAAAAAAGCATGACTGTGCCAGAATGTTTCGTCGGACTTTCACCGACTCATCAGGAGGTTGAACTCCATGTGTGTGTGTGTGTGTGTGTGCGGGCTCACATGTTTGCCTTTCGAACGTAGGGATCACATAGAGCTTGATCGTATTCACGAGCCGTCGAAGAGCTCACATCTTTGCCTTCCGAACGGACAGATCACACAGAGCTTGATCGTATTTGCAAGCCGTCGACGATAGATTTCTGTCGACCTCACTGCAGGTATAATTCTACATCTCTTCCGTTTCTCCTTCACCTCTCCAAGATTGAATATAACTAGTACGGGACCAGTTTCACAACGCTAATGTTCGATCGTTTTTTAGCAGCTCTCCACCAACAGCTCCTAGCAAGGGGTGGAGACCACCGAGGGTAGCCCACAGTACTACTACCAAGGTCAGGGACCACTCAGAGGGAAGACTACCAGGACGAACCAGAGACATCTAGTCTGTGTGTCCAAGACTCTTCCAACCTGCAGGGCCTGGCCCCACAGCGTAAACTTTTTTTTTTTTTTTTTTTTACAATCCACAGCGTAAACTTACAATGACCAGGCATAAAGAGCCATGAAAAAAAAAAAAAAAAACATTGAGTGGCCTTGCTGTCGCTTGCTATTTCTGCTTGAACTCTTGGTCCTTTGCTGTTGTTCTTGCTGTCGCCAGAGTGGATCCGGCCATCAACGTCTGTCATTGCCCTGCATTCGTTAAGGCATGGTATGCTGTAATTATGATTGTGTAATCCTTGTCACGACTGGGGCTTAAGGAGGGTCGGCTTGGCCACCACTGCCCAGTGCCCACCACTGTTAGTTGGGGGACGTGGATGTAGCAGCTGATGGTGTGGTGAGCACCATCGGCTATCAAGGGTGGGGCATTGGATTGTTGAGGAGAGGAAGGGTGGGAGAGATGCAGATGAATGATGGAGAGGTTGCAGAAAGGAGGACTTGGAAATATGAGCGGGGTTCCCGAAGCCTGGCTTGGCCACCACTGTTAGTTGGGGGAGGTGGATCTAGCAGCTGATGGTGTGGTGAGGACTCTGAGGAGGCATTGGATTGTTGAGGAGAGGAGGGGTTAGGGAGATCAGGAATCTGAGGATGAATGATGGAGGGGTTGCAGAACGGGGGACTTGGAAATATAAACGGGGTTTGTAAGAACATCAGGATACGTGTTGTCTGCAGTTGCTCCACACACCAGCTCTTCGCCTCCTATATTAGCTTACCTTCTCCCAAGGTCCTAGGCTCGTCATTCTTCCTTGAATTCTGTTATTTCTTGCGCTTTTTTTACTATGTCTGTTAGACGTCCCAAGTTGGATCCCCTTCTATTGCTTTGATCTTTTGATTCCGATTGCTTTTGATTCCGATTGCTTTTGATTCAGATTGCTGTAGGGGGTCGTGTAGGCCCGTCTGATGCTGGCATGGATGTATTACCATAAGATGATAAGTCATCTGGTTGCGGGCTTGGATGTAGCCGAAAGAGCGATGCCTCCTTTCGGACGCATCCACCTTGCCCTCCGAGCAACCATCAGGCTCATGAGCAATTCTTGTTTTATTTTATTTTTCTTTGTTTTTTTAGATCTGCAATACTGAAGCAAATTGTCACACGAGCACTAACGGCACAAACTGTGACCAACAAATTCAAAATGGAAGCGACGGAAAAAAGCCCACAAAGACTGAAACGAAGCGCTGGATCGTTGTCAGATGTTCGGTATAGTAGAGGGAAGTGCGCAGCGTGACACACAGTGTCACACACGTCTCTGCTAAAAGCAAAGCAGGTCATCGCCAAGACGAAAAGGAGGAAGAAAAGGAAGCAGCAATATGATCAACAGAAGAATACGAATATCGAGGATCAGGAAACTGGAGTACATTTCATGGTCCTGAGGACATAGTGGCACCCTGAAGAACGTGAGGAAAGCTGAAAACACAGTTGCACCCAGAAGAAGGTCAGGAAGAAAAACACAGCACCAGCAGCCGGAACGGAAGGAGGAGAAGAAGAAAAGAGAAAGACTAATAACAGCAAGCAATGGTCAAGTTGCTCTCGTATACACTTTAATCAAGAAGAAAACGAGGCAGAAGTACATTAGAACCAGCGTGTAAGAACTTGAATCAAGAAGAAGAAGAAGAAGAAGAGTAATAAGCAGCGGCCGAACTGCTTTCAGTCCATGGTTCTCAAACTTTGCATTCCAAAGCAGCAGAGAAGAAGAAGAAGAGAAAGTACATTTTATAAGGTTGAAAACCTATCTGGACCAGGAAGAAGGTACGAAAAAGAAAGCACCAGAAGAAGCAGAAGAAGAAGAAGAAGCTAAGCAACGGCCAAATTGCTATTCACACGCAATTTGACGCAAACGAAGGTACTTGCATTCTCAAACAAGCGTGTATAGTGTACACTGCTCCTCTGCGCACAGGTCCTCTACATGTTTCAACCGGGTGCGCTCCGGTCTCATCAGGAGGCTCTCCACGTAAACTCGCCTTTCGGCCCTTATTCTTCTTCTTATCATTAATATTAATAATAATAATAATAATAATAATAATAATAGTTCATTAGGCAGGGGCCGTGATAATCTTCTCTGTATCACTCAACTTTACCGGATGTCCCCGGAGGACGATGGCACGATAGTAAACATTGTAGCACGGTACTAGTACCCCCCCCCCCCCCCCCCCCCCCCCACAAAAAAAAAAAAAAAAAAGAGAGAACAGAGCGCAGAAGTTGCCAAATTTATCCCTCAAGACATCCGTTAAAGTTCTAGCGATAGTTCTTCGACATATCCATGAAAATTTATCCTTCAGGACAGCCGTTAAAATCGGGGCCATCAGAAAGACAGGCTCCAATCTGGACAGCACCGCATACAGGGAAGGTGAGGATGGCTCCTACACAAGAAAGGGAAAAAAAATAAAAAAAATTACGATACGGAGAAGATTACCACATCCCCTGCCCAACGATGAGACGCACAAATTTCAAATTCCCCAATTTTGGCACAGTACTATGGACTCAGGAAGTCGAAAGTTATACTTCCAGTTTCTCCAAAAAAAAAAACAAAAAAAACGCTGGTACCCAGCCCATGCGGCTGAATGGGACACACGTCTAGCTGTTAGCATACAGATCATGAGTTCAGCATTCTGATGGACCCGGATGGTTACAGCAATGCTAAGGGCTACCCCCAAACTAAATCCTCAGTCTCCTTTTTTTTTTTTTCCATTTGTTGCCCGAAATAGTTTTTTCTGTTTCAAATTATTTGTTTCGAACCTTTTTTTTTTTTTTTTTTTTTTTTTTTTTCAGGCCATTCGTCTTCTTAATCACGGATGCATTTGGGCCATTTGTCGATTAATTTTATGCGTGTCATCCTGTCCCACTTGCACGGATTAAGATATTCTGGCCGTTGATCTTTGCTATCTACGGTCAATATGGCTTAATTCGTGTAAGTGGGACCTAGCCCCGGGTCACTCTTGCTGCTCGAGGACCATGCTAGCTAATCTTCTATGTATCGTTCCGTTTCGAAGGGCATCCGTCAAAATTGGAACGATACAGACAAGGCTACAAGGGCAAGGAAGTTCCCAGAGCACAGGCACGCTCAGATCGAAAACTAATTAATTTACAGAGGCATGATTGATTGGCTCTCTCACTGCGTAGGGGTGCTGTACTAGTTATAAAACTGGTTGGTGCCTGTAACAAATATTAATAACGTAATTATAGTTCATTATTGTCTTTCAAATTTCAATGTTTAGATTAATACATAACGCACAAACGCACCTGAATAGAGTAGTACCTATAATTAGCTATCTCCTGATTCTCCTCGGTCCCTTATTCACGCTCAGAGGACTATACATCCATCTAATTACCTAAGCCAGTCTATCTGGGAAATATACATATATTTATGCTTTGTTGTAATTTACTCTTTCGATTTAACAAACCGACATCGACTTCGCTGATGTCCAAGAGAGGAAGAAGTTGGGAGAGAGCAAGAAAGAAGGGGAAGGGGAGGCGGAGGGGGCAGGGAGGGAAGCGGAGGAGAGGGGAAGGGGAAGCGGAAGGAGAAGTGGAGGAGAGGGAAAGGAGAAATCGAGGAGAGAGGAAGGGGAAGCGGAAGGGAAGGGGAGGGGAAGCGGAGGGAAAGAGCAGGGGAATAGCAAGGAAAGGGGAAAGAGGAGGGCAGGGGAGGCGGGGAAGGGGAGGCAAAGGGAGCTTTTGGAGAGAGAAGTGAAGCCTAACAACTTAGTAACAAGTACTAAGTGTAAAGAAGGAAAGACAGGCAGTCATCGCTCTTCTGGGCGTCCATCAGAATTGAAAGAAGATGAACAAGTGACAAGCAATGACCAAAAAATTGCTTGCGAATCATGCTCTTCAGATTGTACCTTTTTTTGGAAAAAAAAGGATGGAGTGAGCCTCCGGAGGGAAGGGGACAGAAAAAAAAAAAAAAAAAAAAAAAAAAAAAAAACCGGAAAGCATGACTCTTGCATGATGTTATTGAGACAAGAACGACAAGAAAAAACGAAGATTCACGAATATGACGAAAACGATTTGCTAGTTGAAAACAAGGGAAAAGTGCTCAGAACGGACCTGGATATCTGATAGAAGAGCTCTTCGTTTGGTTGGGTTCAGCTTTGACCAGTACGATACCAAGTGCGCTTGCCCGACTTGTTCCAATTCCTTCAAGAGATCCGCCGGCGGGCTGTCCTCGTGAATGACATACCCATTGAATTTCCTATCGACGCTATCGTTGTCCAAAAGAGGATTACTGGACAAACCAAATAATGCACTTCCTCGTCCGTTTTCCATCGTCGAATCATGATCTGATCGACCATCCACGGCACTCGACCCGATCGCTACCATTGCGGATTCACTCTAAACTGTACTCACCTCCACAAGCGAAGTGGCCACTTTGCTCTGTCGATGCAGGCGGAGAGAGAGAGAGAGAGAGAGAGAGAGAGAGAGAGAGAGAGAGAGAGAGATGGGAGGAAAAGAGGGGAAAAGCAAAGGAAAGAGGGTGGTCGTCAAAACGACGATCGAAAAGCGTAAGAGGAAGAAGCGAGAGATCCAACGAGAAGAGTAAAAGGAGAAAGTGAAAGGGGGAGAATGAGAAAACGGAAAGGAGAACGAGAGAGAGAGCTAGGAAGAAGACCGCCTCCTGCTTCGTTTTATCGGTCCTATTCTAAGCCACGACCCTTTCCTAATCGGGGTACTCTCAACTTCTGGCTGCCTCTTCCGTGGCTTTCTTCACCTCCTCGTGACAGCTCATATGTGGATCCCCCTCACCATCGCTCTCTCTCTCTCTCTCTCTCTCACACACACACACACACACACACACAAACACACACACACACACACGCACACACACACAAACACAGAGGTACGAAACGGACAACCGGATCGCAGGGCGAGGGTGGATAACGAGAGGCGTTCAGTCAGGGAAAATTGCTAGTCAGGGTAAAAGGCCAGGAGCTGTTTGCTCCTATGGGGTTGCAGTGCCCGAAAAGGGGAGAAAATAGAGGGCGGGGGGGGAAGAACTACAGCAGTCTGCCAGTCGTTTGCTGGCTTTCATCGCCAGCCGAACTGTGATTATGAAGGGACGTCTACCACTCGCACTTTTTGGACTGAATCTGGGCTCAGATACGTCAAGGGACGACCGAGTGTGCGTATGCTCTATAACTTGGTTACCACCCTTTCCCCACCATCTAACCTGCTCGACTCATTACTGGCATAGCACAGATGAAAAATAAATAAATAAATACATACGATAACTGGACCATTTCTCGATTTATGCGTGTCATCCTTGCGCAGGGGCCATGCTAATCTTCTCTGTATCGTTCCAATTTTAACGGATGTCCCGAAGGACTAAGTAAGATAAATGTCGCCCTCCTCCGACTTGAGCCGCTGAGCGTAATCATCACGTTCAGTGTTCTTTCTTGAGTGTCCGCTGAGCAAGATCGAGCTGTAACTCGAGTTCGATACTCCTGTACTCCGGTCCCATCTGAAGCCATGCCCCACTTGTCGAGGTTTAGTTCTGGTTTCAAGTATGCAGAGAGAGTCTTGAAGTTGGTGCAGCTAGTTTCTATTTGATTACCTGCCAGGCGGCACATTCTGAATTCTCAAGGTCTTGTTTCTTTTCTTTTTTTTCTCAAAATCAAGGTCTTGTTTCTATGTCGTACAGGAAATGATGTAATCAAGGGACGCCGGACCCTTTTTCCAGCAGGTGACTCTCCCCACTAATAGATGGAGCGGCCCATCAAGCAAAGCCTCAATTCCGGGGGTTTTCTTACCACCACCAGAATTGGGGCCTTGCGCAAGGGGCTTTAAAAAAAAAAAAAGAAAAAAAAAAAAAAAAAAAAAAAAAAAAAAAAAAAAAAAAAAAAAAAAAAAAAAAAAAAAAAAAAAAAAAAAAAAAAGAGATCCCTGCCACCCGATCTGAAAATTACACGGCCACGGTGGCACGGTGTGACCACGTTGAAAATAGACGAAACATAAACTAAACCCCCGCTAGTAATGTCTTTGTTAAACCCAAAGACTGCAACTGGTTAAGTATACATTATTCCGCGAGTGATGAGTTAACCCGGCCGGCGTACCCATATGCGGGAAAAAATCCGTGTGAACTTCAGTTCAAATCGAGTTCCCCCTCGAAGTTCCCAAGAGCGCGCTTACACATTTAAAAACAGAGAAGGAAAAAAGAGCGCGCTGCTCCGCACAGCCACGGCTCCCGCGGCTGGATCATCGGCGGGAACGACCGAGCCACCAATTCGACCACATCTCCCCCGCGTTAGGGCCTCGTTTCGTTACTCGCCAGAATTTAATGTAAAGGATGGCACTGTATAGTGCAGTGCAACGTGGCAAGATGCATTCGCCGTGTTTTTTACTTCTATTTTTCTCACACTATATCCTTCTCTCAAATTTCTTTCGCGACCTACCTACCTCTACTCCTAAGGGGACCCCAAATGCCTCAGTAGCGGAACGAGGCGGCAATTCTCGTCATCAGTTTTTTTTTTTTTTTTTACTCTTCTCTCAATTTCACCTCGTTTCCCAAAAAAAAAATAAAAAAAAATCACCTCACACTACCTACCTACCACTACTCCCGCCACCTACTGTAGAGATAGACCACTGGATCCCCCGATCGGCATTGAGCAGAGTCTGCTTATGTTCGTAGGGGGGGGGGACCACCACCTGAGGGAAGGCACCGGGATTGGTCCTCTTGGCATGGTCCCTGATGCTACTGGTTGTGCCCTACAGTAGCCGGTATCGCCCCCACCTGCAGGTCGGGAGCAGCCGCCCCATGTTCTCTCGTGAACACGGTCCTGGCTGCTACGGGGTTTCCCGTATGCCTACAATTTTTATTTTTATTTTTTATTTTCTCTGGGAAGTATGCCTACAATTAGGAGTACTCGTCAGAGTTTCAGCTGGTTTTCTACTGATTCACACCTTACGTAATCGATTGAGGGCTGAGGCCTTCGGTCTTGATATGGAGATGCCGTGGGAGTATCTCGCCTATGATCAAGTATGGGCGGCCTCCGGCGAAAATCTACATTTGTATGGGCTTCCCTGCTATACAGTTGGAGATTCCGATGACTGTGATTGCAGTGATTCGATACGTTAGGTGATAGAAATAGTTATTGCAAATAGGTTGTAGTTGATTAGGGTTTCTTGCGACTGCTGTCTACTGTGGATGCCTGATGATACAAATAGTTATTTGTGGTGTGTGGCCAAAACTATAGCTTCTTCTACGTCTGTGCTGGTTCTATTCGTATAGATAATAGGAAAGATCTTTTGCTGTTGGCTGCCTCCTGTGCTTTTCGTGGATTATAGGAATCATGTTCACTAAAGAGATAGTTGCTTGGTATTGTTTTGTTGGTGAAACTATAGTTTCTTCTACGTCTGCCATTGTTAATGGTTTTTGTAGATAATAGGAATTCTGTTTGGAATAATTGTTATTTTGTTTAGGAATTCCGTTTTGAATAACTGTAGAAATAGTGAACGCTGAAAGGCAAGAAATGGTGTTTGTTTAGAACGGCGAACATGGTGACCTAAAGACAATAGGTTACGTAATTAGATTTTGGGATCGGTAATACGATTTCGTAGGTTTAGGGATGGGGATGGCAATTACTTACTAATTAGTTGTCCTTAGAGGCTTGACGGGTCTTAGGGCTTGCTGTAACACAGTGGCCTCTTCAAAGGGTTTGACCGGAGATGTCACGCCCTTTGAAGGGGTAACCCGTCTTTTGTAAGGGACGCCAGGCCCGTTTCCTGGCGTTTTGAAATATACGGGACTCCGGGCCTGGTTCCCGGCTTTTTCCGAAAAAAAAAAAAAAAAAAGGAGTACTCGTCATCAGTTTTTTTTTCTTCTTCTTTTTTTTTTTTTTTGCCGAAAACCGGGTCCGGCATCCCTTACATGTGTACTGCGGCCTTATAGGCTGGGTGAGGCACTCCCGGCCAATCCCATTCCGACCACAGTAGAAATACCCAACAGATTCCTGAGTCTAACTACCAATCAATCATCCAAAATTTCAAAGCCCTGATTGACCTACACTAGCTAATGTACAATCTATCTATCCATTTGTCCTCGCGGCTGCTCTCAATTCTGTTTTTTTTCAAATCTTGAATTGATGTAATGGAGGGTGAAGGCGACTTCGCATGTCCCATTTTATCATTACGATAGTACATCTGTTTGCCACCGTAAAAAAATAAATAAAATAAGCGCTCAATTCTGGTCATTCCCGGAAAAAAAAAAAAAAAAAAATTATCGTCATAAGTTGCCGTGCTGCACTCAATTCTGGTCATTAGTTACCGCGCTCAAATTTTTCACTCAGGATCAGCTCCCGCGCAGCTAGCAATATCCGTCGATATCCATCGCGGACATTCCTGGGTGTATTCAGTACATCCCTGGATGTATAGGACCGCAGAAAGCGGCATAATGCATTCGAAACGCTCTGCCGTAGCTTGGCGAGGGTTCCTCTTGCCGCGCCAGTAGAGTTCGTCAAGTCCGTGTGAGTGTGCCCGTGGCCGCACTAGCGAGTTCGAACTCATCATGTTGATTACCGACGGCAGCACTCACACCTACGGCTTCGGCTCGACCTGCCATCGCGCACCGATAACATCCAGTCCAGGGGGAAAAAAAGACAAAACATCCGGTCCCACAATTAGGAGAAGTGGTAGTTAGGTAGTGTGAGGTGAAATTGAGAGAAGAACATAGCTTTTTTAAATAAATAAAAAAAAACTCTCAAAAAAAAACCTCTCAAATGAGAATACGCGCCTCAGTTGACTCGTGCCTTTTACCCATGTCAACTATGGGTTAACTGCTAGAGCACGGCGCGGCTCAGTTTACCCATGCATTAGGGCGTAGTCATTCTTTTTTTTTTTTTTTTTTTTAAGAAAGGCCGACGGTCTTGAGATATTATCATTGAGCTGACCGACCCCAAGCAATTTATTAGTAGTTGGTTTCCATTGTCAAGTTTCCATCATCTGGATTCGAACACAGCACCTGGTCTGTATTTCAACAGTTCATGGGTGTGGTCCCCACTGATCTTGGCTTTTGGGTAGAAAGGGCGTAGTCATTGTGCTGACCGCAGTTGTGCTCCATCTATTTACGGCCGGACTTATGCAGTTCCATCCAGATAAGTAAAAACGTGGAAGTGTGAATATGCCCTTACTCGCGTCAACCACCCGGTAACTGCCAGGGCCGGCGCGGTTCAGGGCATACACACACTGGGACTTTTTACTTTATTTCTGGTCGTAATGGCGGCCAGATTCCTTCCCGTCCGGCCGTAAAAGTGGTCAGATGCATTAAACGTAGTGCTGATGTGAGCATGTCCTCAGTTGGTGCATGCTATGTTAGCGTTAGTGGGTGGCCTGCCAGTGCAAGGCGCGGATCAGCGGTCTGGCAGTGCTCGGCGGCAATTTTTGTTTTTTGTTTTTTTACGAACTTACAAAGGCCCTCGGCCGCAAACATAATAAAAACCGCCGACCCTTTCAGGAAAAAACAGGACGGGGGAAAAAACGGGCAAAGTCGACCACAGCCGTCAAGCTCGACGAGCTGGGACATTGCGCTACTGTGGGGAAAAACAGGGAAAAAAATTCGACCGCAGCCAAAGCCGGAGTCAAACTGGCCCCGCCGATTCCTGGAAGCTGCTGCTAGCCTGCTACCC